CCCGCGGCCCGGGGAAAGAGGGGGAGCGGAGGAGCCGCAAGTATTTACAAGATGCAAACAAGGAGAAAGAGGCAGCCCTGTTCCCAGACTGACAGACACGGCAGGAGGGAGGCAGAGGCAGAGGGATGGGCCTCCCAGGAACAGAGCCCTCTGCACTGCCTCTTCCCACCTCTCACTGCACCGGGGCTACTGTGTAGGTGCATATTCCTACACAGTGGGGTGCTGGTCACGCTTGGGCCCAAGCCTGCAGGCTGACCACATGTAGAGCTCTTATGTCCATGGCTGAAGGGCCCTGACACCACCCATGTTACAGCTATCCCATCCCCGGGCTCAGCTGTGGGGCAGGACATCTGGCGCCTACCATCAGCTTCTCGCTTGCCTTCTCCTCAGCCGATTGAAATCCCAGCAGCTCCCACCTCTCTTTCCTCAAACGCTGCAAGTGGCTCTGGATCTGGTCCTGCAAATGGGGATGGGGGAAGCTTTGAGCGGCTCATGCCTTAAGGCAGTAATAGTGTCAACGGCCAGCCAGAGGTTTTGTTCAAACCCACCCCCTTGCACAAGGGACTCCAGGGAACGCCGGGAGGCTGGGCAGAGCTAGGCCCCTGAACTCAGTATCCCAGACGGACACTTGCTGCACGTCTCCCACTAAGCCAGCCCCCTGGCCCAGGGAAGACACATGGGGACCCAACGGCTCTGCTGGTGAGTGGCATAAACACGCCATTACCCTGCGTAGCGACTGGGCGCTCCTCTCCCAACCAGAGGGGAAGGCCAGGATCACCCCACATGTCACACAGACGAGGAAGGGCAAAGCTCTTTCAGCCAGAATGGGGAGCAGCCTCTGTGTCCCTCCGAGTGCATCTGCACCGCAGCTGGGAGCAGGCTCCACTCTGATTCCAGGGACCCCGGTGCCCTGCTGTATGCCAGGCAAAGTGTGTCACTCCCTGTCATGCCTGGCCCACTCAGAGGATAACAGCCTATTACTGCTGCATATTACTCCTTCAGCTCTAGTGCAATGTGGCTGTGTGGAACCAGCTCGCACTACTGCATCCCTGGCACTGCACACCCCCTCCCTTGTACTCCTGGGCAGCCTCTTCCATGGGGAGCACAGGGTGTGTGCGGTGAGCTCGGGACTCCCGGCACACCAAGCAGATGGGCATCTGATCCTCCTCGCAGAAGAGCTTCAGAGCTTCCTGGTGTCTGTCGCACACCCTCTCCCCCTCCGGCTCGTGCGCCACCTGTGAGCTCAGATCTCTCACCGACCCCACCATATTCCTCAGTTCCTTGCTGGGCCGCAGGTTCCCCTGGGGGCAGGTCTCCCCGCACTGGGGGCAGCAGAAGTTTGACTCCAGTTGCCCCCAGTACTGACTGATACAGTCCTGACAGAAGCTGTGCCCACAGTCTGTAGTCACCGGCTCTTTGAAACCCTCCAGACAGATGGAGCAAGTCACTTCAGCCTGGGCTCTGGTGGCCAGCTCCCCAGCAGCCATGGCTTCTTGCAGAGAAGAGAGCCCGCAGGGTTGAGTTTCGGGTTCCTGAGCTCACACAGCTCTTTGAAAGGCAGGAGCTAAGGGGCGTTTCCAGCACTTGCTTGGTTTCCTGTTTGTACAAAAGGCCTCGTTTAGGCTCACTAACTCCCTCTTCTGAAAAGCAGCCTTTGGAAGCTTGAAAGGGAATACAGCTGCTGAATGGCTCCCTAACTCCCTGGGAGGTCCCAGTGCCCTTATCTGTTTAGCTCTCTGCCAGCAACGCCACCATTGCAGCAAGGCAGAACAGGGACTGTGCTCAGGTGCGAGCCTCATGCAGCCTCACACTGGTGCGCTCAGAGCCAGGCTGTCCGTGTCAAACTGCTAGTCCTGTGCACACATTTATCCATTTCCCATGTGCAAGAGAAAGATTGAAAACCTGCCCTAAGTGCATCCTGGGCTCCACGCGGCATTTCGATCTTTGAAATGCACTAGGGCCCCCGCTGAGGCTCCTGTATATTTCAAAGGTGGAACGCCACACGGCATTTCCGCCTCTGAACTGTAGCAACAGCTGGGTGAGCTCTTGCTACATTTCAAAGCAGAAGCGCCCTTCTTGACTAATCGACTAGTCAATGGAAATACCATCAACTATTCGATTAGTTGATTAATCTAATTTTAACATCCCTATTCTGCAGTATCCCTTCCTAGACAGTCGCTTCCCATTCTGTATGTGTGAAAATTGATTTTTCCTTCCTAAGTGGAGCATTTTGCTTTTGTCCTTATTGAACCCCATTCTGTTTACCTCAGGCCATTTCTCCAGTTTGTCCAGATCATTTTGAGTTATGACTCTATCCTCCAAAGCACTTGCCACCCCTCCCAGCTTGGTACCATCTGCAAACTTAATAATTGTACTCTCTATGCCAATATCTAAATCGCTGATGAAGATATTGAACAGAACGGGTCCCAAAACAGACTCCTGTGGAACGTCACTTTTTATGTTCTTCCAGCAGGATTGTGAACCATTAATGACTCTCTGAGAACAATTATCCAGCCAGTTATGCCCCCACCTTACTGTAATCCCATCTAGGTTGTATTTCCCTATTTTACAGATAAGGTCATATGAGGATGTATCAAATACTTTACTAAAGTCTAGGTATACCATGCCTATACTGCTTCCCCCTTAACCATAAGTCTTGTTATCCTATCAAAGAAAGCTAACAGAATAGTTTGACTTGATTTGTTCTTTACAAATCCCTGCTGGCTGTTACCTATCACCTTATTAACTTCCAGAGGTTTGCAGATGAACTCCTTAATTATTTGCTCCATTATCTTTCCTGGCACAGATGTTCAGCTGACGGGTCTGTAAATTTCTAGTTGTCCTTATTTCCCTTTCTATAGATGGGCACTATGTTTTGCCGTTTTCCAGTCTTGTGGAATCTCTCCTGACTTCCATGACTTTTCAAAGATGATAGTTAATGGCTCAGATACCTCCTCTAGGAGCTCCTTGTGTATTCTCGGATGCATTTCATCAGGCCCTGGTGACGTGAAGACATCTATCTTTTCTAAGTAATTTTTAGCTTGTTCTTTTTCTATTTTAACTTCTAAACATACCCATAACCCATCCCTCCTGGTCCCTTTATATTTGATCCCCCTAGCCCAAGTATCCCTCTCCTAGTTTTCATGGAAGTTGACATCACTCTGGGAAGGGCAGGGGGGAAAGAACTTCATCCAGGCAGAGAGAGCTTCTGGAGGAAGGTGAGAGGTTTCCCTCAGGGTGCTACCTGGAATTGGGGTTCCACTGAGGCCTCTAACCCATCCCCTGGTCTCCCTTTCACACTGTAGATAGCTCCAGGTGTCCTACCTTTCCACCAGCATTTCCCTAGGCAGGGATACATCCAGCTGCAGTTACATGCAAACTGACCAGCCACTGCATGAACCAACAAGAGGCTACAGCCAAAATAACCCCCAGTAATCTACGCCTCCCGAGCTGTACTGTCCTGCCCCGGTGAAAACTCCAAAGCAGCATGAATTTATTGCTGGGTTGGCACCTCCTTTAATGTGGAGAGGAATGTGCACAATTGTACACTCCAAAGCACACTGGTTCAGGTTAACACATGCAAATAAGATGATTAAGTACAGACAATACTCATTAAGTGATATCAAACAGATTAAAGGAGGTTACCTACTAAATAAACAAAAGCCACTAACTAAGCCTAAAAGACTAGAAAGATTGGATACGAATTCGCAATTTCGCTCCCTGATTGATGACTTTAACTCCCTACCCCCGTTCCAACTCTTCTTTTTTTGGCATTTGAGGTTTTTGTTGTTGTTGTTGTTGTTTTCTGGGTGTTCAATAAGAGCTGTTCCAAATGCTGAGAAGCCTCTTTCAGATCACTTTGTGGAAAAACACAGGCACCCAAAATGGAGATCAGCGTCCTGTGAGCTGCTCACCTGTCCTTGCTAAGACACAGCACCCATTGCTCATAGGCTATCTGGAGCTCTCTCAGGGAAGCTCACCAAGCGGGGGAGACGAAGAAGACCCATTTACCTAGAATAGGGCCTTTCCCAACCAGCAGTCTGGACTGGAAACAGCTTGCCTTGCAGGGTCACCCCGGGGTAGCTACATTTGAAACACAGAATCAATATCAATAACTTCAGCTACCAAAATGCACACAACTACTCATATTCAGCAGATTACGACTTCTCCAATGACTTCCTACACTCCCACCTTGTCAAAAATGCATCATCATAATGCCAGACTAATACTAAAGTAGTGTTACTATGACAAATATAGTGTGGTGTCACAAACAGTTTCTCTCTTCCTTCTCCCAGCAGGTTAGCAGCCAGGACCGCAGCAGGGACGAGGGGAGGGGTCATCCGGACTTTTCCTCCAGGCATAGCCAGAGAGTCACTGATCGCTCCAACTGGAACCTGCCCTCAGTAGGGATGTTAAAATGTGTTTATTTAGGTAAACGTGTAGCAGCTCAACATTTCAGTGGTAACATGTTTTTTACATGTTTACATGGAGCTGTCTGGGCGTCCCCACCCCCACCCCCTGCTGCCTCTGCAGACTGTGTGTAATTGTGCACACCAGTACATTTTCACATCCCTAACCCCCAGAGATGGGCAGCTGGAAACTTGGGAGCCAAATTCCATTGCTATGTATGAAAATGAGGAAGTAGAAAATTTCCCACAAGCCAAGCAGTCATGGGGTTTCTCTCTTATGTGGACTGTCTGATATCAAGCATGGCTTGATCTTCAAATGAAACTTTTTCCAGTTAAAGCATTTATAGATTGAGAATCCACACAAAACAGATATTTAGAATGTTATGAGTGAGACCTGAAACTCTCCTCTTCATCCAACCCTTTATGGGATTTTTTTCTTGTGTGGATTCTCCCATGCCTAACAAGGTTTGAATTATTACTGAAGCTTTTCCCACAATCCAAGCATTTATAAGGGTTATCTTCCATGTGGATTCTCCCATGAATAAAAAGGCTCGAGCTTTCACTGAAACTTTTCCCACACTTCAGACATGTAAAGGGTTTCTCTCCTGCATGGATTCTCCCATGCCTAATAAGGCTTTTGTGCTGATTGAAACTTTTCTCACAGTCCAGGCATTTGTAAGGTTTTTCTCCTGTGTGGATTCTCTGATGTACAGTAAGGGATGATGGTGCACTGAAACTTTTCCCACACTCAGGGCATTTATATGGGCCCTCTCCTGTGTGGATTCTCCTATGAGTTATAAGGCCAGAATGCTGACAGAAACATTTCTCACAGTCTAGGCATTTGTAAGGTTTTTCTCCCGTGTGGATTCTCTGATGTACAAGAAGGGATGATGGTGCACCAAAACTTTTCCCACACTCAAGGCATTTATATGGTCCCTCTCCAGTGTGGATTTTGCTATGGCTAAGAAGGCCAGAGCGCTGATTGAAACGTTTCCCACAGTCTAGGCATTTATAAGGTTTTTCTCCTGTGTGGATTCTCTGATGTACAGTAAGGGATGATGGTGCACTGAAACTTTTCCCACACTCAAGACATTTACATGGCCTCTCTCCAGTGTGGATTCTCCCGTGATAAATAAGACCAAACAGCCCATTGAAGCTTTTCCCACATTCAAGGCATCTATAGGGTCGCTCGCCTGTGTGGATTCTCTCATGGCTAACAAGGCCTGCACGCTGAGTAAAGGCTTTCCCACAGTTCAAGCATTCATAGGGTCTCTCTCCTGTGTGTAGTCTCCTGTGATTTCTGAGGTGTGAGGACTGAGTGAAGTTTTTCCCACAGGTCAAGCAATGATAGGGTCTCTCTCCCGTGTGAATTCTCCGATGGTTGTAAAGGCCAGACCGCAGACGGAAGCTTTTCTCACAGTACAAACATTGATAGGATTTCTTTTTCTTGTCATTTGTTTGCTGGGCTGTGGTTTCCTTGGGATCCTGGCCTTCTCTCCCACATTCAGTGGATTCATTCACTTTCTTCCTTAGGCTGTTTCCCAGCTTCCTTTCTGACTCATGCCAATTACTCCAGGCTTTGGTCTGTTCTGAGCAATGGGGGGAAAAATGTCCAGATCTTCTCAGAAAGGTTCCCGGCACTTCTACTTGTTTAGGCTCATCTTGCCATGGATTAACCTCCACGTTCTCTCTCGTGATGTCATGGCCTGCTGGGGGAGAAAGAGAATCCAGGGAGTCAGTGTCCCAGTAGAAAGGATAGAAAGGGGACTAGAGGGAAAACACATCAGTCGGGCAGACTGAGAAATTGGATTGCTTCCAGATCCCGTCCAAACACTCCTAGGGAAAACTGACAGAGAACAGGATGGCTGGGAAGCCATGAGCAATATCTGCCAGGATGACAGGACACCTGCTGACTGCAACATCACCTGGGTGAGAGGAGGCAGAGCTGAGGGGGCTCACACCACAGTCTGGGGGATTTTCAGCTTTTTTCTCTCCATTTGCGGGATACTTTGTATGCGAGTGTCACGGACTCCTCACCTGTGCTGGTGCCTCTTGGGATCTTCCTTTCCTCGGAGGCCTGGAGATCTGGGACCCACGGCTCTTCCCCTGCTTCCAGCTGGGTGATCAGTGCAGGTTTGGGAATGTGGAGTCCTGCTTGGGGGTGAAATCAGGCATGAGCAGATTGGGGGTTGGAGTCGATGACCTCCTGAGGTCTCCTCCGACTCTATTATTCTATGTACTGAGGACTGGGGCTCTGTTTCTCACACAGGGCACAGTGTGAGTTTAGCCTGACCCCAGGATTTGCTGCACGGTTGTGGCATGGGAACATGGTCACTGAGCCCCCTTTGGGAGAGGCCAATGTCTGGAGGGAAGCTGTCTCACCCTCACTAGGAGTTCTATAGCTCTGGGGGATTTGCTCAGGTGCACACAGCTCTGGGGTTAAACCCCTGCCTATGTCTGAGTCCCCAGAGCCCTCCCCACAGATGGAGCTAGTCCCAAGGGGGTGTCCAGAGATCCTGTGTGTCAGGGAGAATCTATGCAGATTGGTTTCTACACTGTTCCTGCCCCAGTGACAGCTGGAGGGGTGGAGATGAATTAGCATGTTCGTTAGGTTCATGACTCCCCTGTCCTGCTGGGGGAGGTATGGAGGTGAATGGCTCTCACACTGTGGCTGTGAACAATGTGACCCATTCCCCTCTCATCTAACAACCAATGAAGAACCTGACCAAATATAAGCCCCATGGCTTCAAATACCAGTAGGGAAGGGAATCCCGTACCCAGCGAGGTCACCGTCTCGTAGTTCTCCTGCATGACGGCCCTGTAGAGGGCTCTCTGACCTGGGTCCAGCAGAGCCCCCTGCACCTGGGTGAAATACACAGCCACCTCCTCGAAGGTCACCAGCATCTGGAACAACAAGAGCCCTCGCTCAGTCCCTGCTGCCCCAGCCACAGCCCTGCTAGTCACGGGAAACGGGTCCTGGAGAAGCAGAATCCTGCCCCCCACCCCACTCAGAGCAGCCAGGAGGCTGCAGGGGTGGGGAGAGCTCCTGTGCCCCCAGCGGCAGAGCAGGGCAGGGTCTGCCCATTCCCCATGTCTGCTAGCCCCAGTCTCTGGCCAGTTGGGTCAGGCTCCAGGTTTTGGTCAGTTTTCCCAGCCCTACCCAGGGGTTGTTTCCTGCTTCCAAAATGCGGGAATGTTCTCTCCCTCCAATGAGTTTATTCATAAATCAGGCCCTAGGCCAGGCAGGTCCCAGCAGGTTTATTGCACCCTCCCTGTTTGTTTCCTGCCCCCTCCCCCTCTACAACAACCCTCCCTGGCAGCTCCCCCCAAAATCTCCTACCTGAGCCATTTCCCTGCCCTGGAACCAAGGGAGATGGGATTATCTGGAGCAAAATGGGGTCGTTATTCTGCAACCTCCAGGCTGAAAAGGGAAAAAAACTGGGGAGGTTTCTGAAGTATCATCAGTCCATTTCATACCCCAACCCTCTACTCCCCCCCCCCCCCCC